GAGAGAGAGAGTGAGTATGAGAGAGAGAGAGTATATGAGAGAGAGAGAGTATGAGACTATGAGAGAGAGAGAGTGAGTATGAGAGAGAGAGAGAGAGTATGAGAGAGAGAGAGAGAGAGTATGAGAGAGAGAGAGAGAGAGGGTATGAGAGAGAGAGAGAGCGAGGGGGTATGAGAGAGAGAGAGAGAGGGTATGAGAGAGAGAGAGGGTATGAGAGAGAGAGAGAGAGGGTATGAGAGAGAGAGAGGGTATGAGAGAGAGAGAGGGTATAAGATAGAGAGAGAGAGAGAGAGAGAGAGAGAGAAGGTATGAGAAAGAGAGAGAGAGGGTATGAGAGAGAGAGAGAGAGTATAAGAGAGAGAGAGAGAGAGAGAGAGAGACAGAGAGAGTGAGTATGAGAGAGAGTGAGTATGAGAGAGAGAGTGTATGAGAGAGAGAGAGAAAGAGAGCGAGAGAGTGAGAGAGAGTATGAGAGAGAGAGAGAGAGGGTATGAGAGAGAGAGAGGGTATGAGAGAGAGAGAGAGGGTATGAGAGAAAGAGAGAGAGAGAGAGAGGGTATGAGAGAGAGAGAAAAGGGTATGAGAGAGAGAGAGAGAGAAGAGGGTATGAAAGAGAGAGAGGGTATGAGAGAGAGAGAGAGAGAGAGAGGGTATGAGAGAGAGGGGGTATGAGAGAGAGAGAGAGGGTATGAGAGAGAGAGAGGGGGGGGTATGAGAGAGAGAGAGTATGAGAGAGAGAGAGAGTATGAGAGAGAGAGAGAGAGAGAGGGGGTATGAGAGAGAGAGTGTGAGAGAGTATGTGTGAGAGAGAGAGAGTATGAGAGATAGAGAGAGAGAGAGTATGAGAGAGAGATAGAGTATGAAAGAGAGAGAGAGAGATAGAGAGTATGAGAGAGAGAAAGTATGAGAGAGAGAGACAAAGAGAATGAGTGAGTGAGAGTATGCGAGAGAGAGAGAGAGAGAGAGAGAAGAGGGTATGAGAGAGAGAGAGAGAGGGGGGGGTATGAGAGAGAGAGAGAGAGTGTGAGAGAGTGTGTGTGAGAGAGAGAGAGTATGAGTGAGATAGAGAGAGAGAGTATGAGAGAGAGAGAGACAGAAAGAGAGTGAGTGAGTGAGAGTATGCGAGAGAGAGAGAGAGAGAGAGAGAGTATGAGAGAGAGAGAGAGTATAAGAGAGAGAGAGATAGAGATTATTACAGAGAGAAAGAGAGTATGAGAGAGAGAGAGAGTATGAGAGAGAGAGAGAGTGAGTATGAGAGAAAGAGAGAGTATGAGTGAGAGAGAGAGTGAGTATGAGAGAGAGAGAGATAGAGAAAGAGAGAGTATGAAAGAGAGAGAGAGAGAGAAAGTATGAGCGAGTGAGAGAGAGTATGAGAGAGAGAGAGAGTATGAGAGAGAGAGAGTGAGTATGAGAGAGAAAGTATGAGAGAGAGAGAGTGAGTATGAGAGAGAGAGTGATTATGAGAGAGAGAGAGTGATTATGAGAGAGTCAGTATGAGAGAGAGAAAGTATGAGAGAGAGAGAGAGAGTGAGTATGAGTATGAGAGAGAGAGAGAGTGAATATGAGAGAGAGAGAGTGAGTATGAGAGAGAGAGAGAGAGGAAAAGTATGAGAGAGAGAGAGGGAGAGTATAAGAGAGAGAAAGAGAGTATAAGAGAGAGAGAGAGAGAGTATGAGAGAGCTAGAGAGAGTATGAGAGAGAGAGAGAGTAAGAGAGAGAGAGAGTATGAGAGAGAGAGAGAGTATGAGAGAGAGAGAGAGTGAGTATGAGAGAGAGAGAGAGAATGAGAGAGAGAGAATGAGAGAGAGAGAGAGAGAGAGAGGAGTGGGGGTATGAGAGAGAGGGTATGAGAGAGAGAGAGAGAGAGAGAGAGAGAGAGAGAGAGAGAGAGAGAGAGAGAGAGAGAGAGAGAGAGAGAGGGGGGGTATGAGAGAGTGAGAGAGGGGGTATGAGAGAGAGAGAGAGAAGGTATGAGAAAGAGAGAGAGGGGGTATGAGAGAGAGAGAGAATGGGAGAGAGAGAGAGAGAGAGAAGGTATGAGAAAGAGAGAGAGAGGGTATGAGAGAGAGTATAAGAGAGAGAGAATGAGAGAGAGAGAGAGAGAGAGAGAGAGAGAGAGCGAGCATGAGTGAGAGAGAGAGAGAGTATGAAAGAGAGTATGAGAGAGAGAGAGAGAGAGAGTATGAGTGAGAGAGAGGGAGAGAGTCAGTATGAGAGAGAGAGAGAGAGTGAGTATGAGAGAGAGAGGATGAGAGAGAGAGAGGAAAAGTATGAGAGAGAGAGAGGGAGAGTATAAGAGAGAGAGAGAGAGAGTATGAGAGAGAGAATGAGAGAGAGAGAGAGAGTATGAGAGAGAGAGAGTATGAGAGAGCTATAGAGAGTATGAGAGAGAGAGAGAAAGAGAGAGAGAGAGAGTATGAGAGAGAGAGAGAGTGAGTATGAGAGAGAGAGAGCATATGAGAGAGAGAGAGAGAGAGTATGAGACAATGAGAGAGAGAGAGTGAGTATGAGAGAGAGAGAGAGAGGGTATGAGAGAGAGAGAGAGAGAGAGAGAGGGGGTATGAGAGAGAGAGAGAGAGAGGAGAGAGAAGGTATGAGAAAGAGAGAGAGAGGGGGGGTATGAGAGAGAGAGTATGAGAGAGAGAGAGAGATCATGAGAGAGCGAGAGAGATCATGAGAGAGCGAGAGAGAGAGAGTGTATGAGAGAGAGAAAGAGAGAGTATGAGAGAGAGACAGAAAGAGAGTGAGTGAGTGAGAGTATGCGAGAGAGAGAGAGATTATTACAGAGAGAAAGAGAGTATGAAAGAGAGAGAGTGAGTATGAGAGAAAGAGAGAGTATAAGAGAGAGACAGAAAGAGAGTGAGTGAGTGAGTATGCGAGAGAGAGAGAGAGAATGTATGAGAGAGAGAGAGAGAGATTATGAGAGAGAGAGAGAGATTATTACAGAGAGAAAGAGAGAGTATGAAAGAGAGAGAGAGTGAGTATGAGAGAGAGAGTATGAGAGAAAGAGAGAGTATGAGTGAGAGAGAGAGTGAGTATGAGAGAGATAGAGTATGAAAGAGAGAGAGAGATAGAGAGTATGAGAGAGAGAGAAAGTATGAGAGAGAGACAGAAAGAGAGAGTGAGTGAGAGTATGAGAGAGAGAGAGAGATTATGAGAGAGAGAGATTATTACAGAGAGAAAGAGAGAGTATGAAAGAGAGAGAGTGAGTATGAGAGAGAGAGTATGAGAGAAAGAGAGTATGAGAGAGAGAGAGTGAGTATGAGAGAGATAGAGTATGAAAGAGAGAGATAGATAGTATGAGAGAGAGAGAAAGTATGAGAGAGAGAGAGAAAGAGAGAGAGAGTGAGTATGAGAGAGAGAGTATGAGAGAAAGAGAGAGTATGAGTGAGAGAGAGAGATTATTACAGAGAGAAAGAGAGAGAGAGTGAGTATGAGAGAGAGAGTATGAGAGAAAGAGAGAGTATGAGTGAGAGAGAGAGTATGAGAGAGATAGAGAAAGAGAGAGTATGGGAGAGGGAGAGAGTATGAGAGATAGAGAGTATGAAAGAGAGAGAGAGAGAGAGAGAGAGAAAGTATGAGCGAGTGAGAGAGAGAGAGAGAAAGTATGAGCGAGTGAGAGAGAGAGAGAGAAAGTATGAGCGAGTGAGAGAGTATGAGAGTATGAGAGAGAGAGAGAGTATGAGTGAGAGAGAGAGATAGAGTGAGTATGAGTATGAGAGAGAGATAGAGAGTGAGTATGAGAGAGAGAGAGTGATTATGAGAGAGAGAGTCAGTATGAGAGAGAGAGAGTAAGTATGAGAGAGAGAGAGAGAGTGAGTATGAGTATGAAAGAGAGAGAGAGTGAATATGAGAGAGAGAGAGTGAGTATGAGAGAGAGAGAGAGGATGAGAGAGAGAGAGGGTATGAGAGAGAGTATAAGAGAGAGAGTATGAGAGAAAGAGTATGAGAGAGAGAGAGTATGAGTGAGAGAGAGAGAGTATGAGAGAGAGAGAGAGAGAGAGTATGGGAGAGAGAGAGAGTATGAAAGAGAGAGAGAGAGAGAAAAAGTATGAGAGAGAGAAAGAGAGTATGAGTGAGAGAGAGAGAGAGAATGAGTATGAGAGAGAGAAAGAGTGAATATAAGAGAGAGAGGGTATGAAAGAGAGAGAGAGAGGCTATGAGAGAGAGAGAGAATGAGAGAGAGAGAGTATGAGAGAGAGAGAGATAGAGAGAGAGAGAGAATGAGAGAAAGAGAGGGGGGGTATGAGAGAGAGAGAGAAGGTATGAGAGAGAGTAAGAGAGAGAGAGAGATAGTGAGTGTGAGAGAGTGTGTGTGTGAGAGAGAGAGAGAGAGAGAGAGAGTGAGAGTATGAGAATGAGAGTGAGAGTATGAGAGAGAGAGAGAGAGAGAGTGAGTATGAGAGAGATAGAGAAAGAGAGAGTATGAGAGAGAGAAAGAGAGTATGAGAGAGAGAGAGAGTATGAGAGAGAGAGAGAGTATGAGAGAGAGAGAGAGTGAGTATGAGAGAGAGTATGAGAGAACGAGAGAGTATGAGAGAGAGAGAGAGTATGAGAGAGAGAGAGAAAGTGAGTATGAGAGAGAGAGTATGAGAGAACGAGAGTATGAGAGAGAGAGAAAGTGAGTATGAGAGAGAGAGAGAGTATGAGAGACAGAGAGAGAGAACGTATGAGAGAGAGAGAGGGAGAGTATGAGTGAGAGAGAGAGAGAAAGAAAGAGTATGAGAGACAGAAAGTATGAGAGAGAGAGAGTATGAGTGAGAGAGAGAGAGAGGAGAGATGTAGTCCAGTGATTTGTACTAATTTTTATGTGTTGAGTAAGAATTCTTGTTTTTTAGATTTTATTTCATTAGTAAAAAAAGAACATTAGCTCTTTTCTTTTCTTTTTTATACCTTTGAATAAACAAAGTAGAATATTTTGTTATCCAGACTTTTTATATTTTTGATAAGCTTTGACTTTTTTGTATAGAGATTAATGATTATTTTATTATTTTTAACAGTTGAAGATGACTGCTTTACATTGGGCCTGTGATAGAGGACACACCTCAGTTGTTGGCTTACTTCTGAAACATCATGCCAAAACTGATGTGGTAAACAAGTAAGTTTGTTCTTATCATGTCCAGTAATATTTAAAATCAGAGAAGAAAGAGAACATATAATTGGGAATTCTCATTGTAATCATAAATTCATACTGTTTCAGTGGAACCAGATGAAAACAAGTGGTGCATTGAATGATTTTGCTGTTAGCCCGTCTCTATTTGATTGAAATTTAGAGCAGACATCAAATACTGAACGTTATTTGTGCTGTTTCAAGGTTCTTTTATTTTATATATTTATTTATTTCATATTATTTATTTCTTGGCAGTGTTCCTGTTTAAGAACTATTATGATTTTGTGCATTTAATATGTCCTATAAGTGCTAAGCATTTCTGGAGGAGTTATCTACATCATAAATCAAAACATTTGCATGATGGACTGATAGAAAGTATCTACTGACTTAAAATAGGGAAATGGTTATCATTTAGCATCTTGTATCTTCAGTGACTCCAAGTGGTAGTTTTTATGGTACTCGTACCCATCTCAGACAAAGGTCATCGTAATTAGAAGTCATGGAATATGTATTAAGACCAACTATGACTTTTTTTATATGGTTGGTATAGATTTAACAGGACTGGGTAGGGTTTACAAGGTAGTATTCAGTATTATATGTCATATTTTTCTCTTTGTGTATAGATATGCTTAAAGTGTCTGAAAAAGCAAAATTGAAAATATGTGACTTAATTCATTTCATATTTTCAGAAATTAGAAAAAGTGACAGCAATTTTGTGGTTCCATCATAAGGAATTGTTGATTTGATATTGATTTTTTTTTTTTTTTTTTTTTTTTTTTTCCCTTTTTCAGATTTGCTAAGCCTCCTCTCCATATTGCAGTAGAAAGAGGACATCAGCAGATCATCCGGCTACTTCAGGTGAACATTTTTCACATTTCTTAATAGCATAGAAATCACTCTAGTATATATTTCCTTACCCCACTTATCCTGGGACCCAATCACACTAGTGACATCTCATCATGTCAAGGCAAGTCAGGCAAAAATCCTAAGTGGCAGGTAACCATGCCACATGCCGTTACTTTAAATTGTGTGTACTAAACAGTGGTTTACTTGTTTGGCTCTGATTACAGTCATTGGAGAGACATAGACCCTCAGATATACGCTTAAAGTCCCTTTTCAGTCTCATTTCCTTTTAAAAATTGTGTATGCTGCAACCAAGGGGATAGAGAGTTACATGGAGCAACTTATTGCATGTGAAGCCTTCTGTGTGGTTTGGTATGTTGCAGGGCAATGTCAATAAGAACCTGTTATTCATAAAACTCCTGACTATCTTTCCATACTATCTTTCACAACACAATATTCTGAAAGGTTTTGGGAGGTCTGATTTCAGAAATTACAATAACTGACATATGTTAATGACTCATCCCAACTCATATATATTCATGAAAAATGTTTTTCTTATATATTTCCATATCCCCTTCACAACGGGTGACGCCTATAGGCGTGAAAACAAACCGCTCGAAATGTGAAGTGCGTCTATACACTGTGGTGGCGTGCCAAAGCGCGGCGAGCCAGTGATTCGGGCTGACGCCCCGTACTCCTGCGCTCAAAGTCGGCGCGCTGCCTTTGTTTGCCAGAGCGTAGAGTTTTATTTTCCTTTAGTACACCCGGCGTCATTGGGTTAATTTACGAAATTATTTTGCGTTATCTTATTTTGCTGTTACTAATGTTTATAACATTATAGTAATTATAATATTTATAATAAAAATAACCATCGATATTCATAGCACTAGTAAAAATACATTTTCTCGCCAAATGAAATCAGGTAAAGCAGAGGCATCTAGTATAGAGAAATTTCATTAAAAAATATAAAAACTGAGCACAGCATTTCCCCCATTTTTTGTTCATTTTTACCCGGCACGAATGGGTTAATAAACAATCAGATTAATTTGGGTAGAAATGGTAGTTGAAGAATCCAGAGGAGGAGATGAGGTAACAGGGGAAGGTGAAGTCTCAGCAAGAATATCAGGGGAAGATAGAGGGAATGGTGATACACATGGAGGAGATGGTTTGTTTTTTTGGGAGAGTGGGAGGAATTGGGGTAGTGGGAGTCTGAGGAGGAGGATTGATATTGGCAAATACTTTGAATGTAGAGCAAAACAGGAAAAGAGAATGGATAAGGGAGTGGAGCATTCTCTTGGTTCTTGTTTAGGAAGTTTTGAAGGTCTTGAAGAGTTTCTGGAGGGGAGTTGACTTGGGAGGTCTGAGAAACATGGGTTCTCTCTTATGTGGAGGGGAAGAGGGAATAGATGTCCAAAGAGCAGAAGGAGAGGTGGGTGTAGGAGAAAATATGGTAGAAGATAGGGTATAACGTTTAAATTGTCAAGTGCTACAGATAGAGTGACAAGGAGGAGGGGTAGACACTGGAGAAGTGGTAGAGATTGGAGTATCTGGATTAAAACTGGGGGAGTGAGTACAGATAGCATGGTTTGATGTAGAGGGAAGATTTACTGGAGGAGATGCTGAGACTTCTTGAGAAGATGGGAGGGGAGTGGAGCAAAGTACAGTTTTGGAGTAGGTCTGGCCTCATATAAAATAAATCTTAGTTTGAATCTGAGAACTGCTACCTCAGATTCAAGCTTGTAGGCAGGGCAGCTCTTATAAAAATGCACTATGGGAGCCACCACAGTTGGCACACATGCGTGACTGAGCAGAGCATTTTGAACACTTATGACCAGATTGACACATAGAGGGCAGCAGGCTGTAGAGTGACAGTGTTTGGCTGGGTGGCCAAAATGCCACTTCTGACATTGACAGAGAAGGGGTCAATATGGTTGGACAGGACAGGACACTCCAGCAATAAAAACTTCACAGGGGAGGTCATGTCTACAGAAGCCAATCTTGGCAATATTGGTGTAGGACTTACACTGGCCCCTGGGAGGAATAGTGTAGCACTGGACTGCTTCTGCATCATAGTCAACAAGGCATGCAAGCAAGTTGCTTTCAGTCTGACCACTTCTTGTTGTAGACAGGACAATCAGTTGGGGAGATGGAAACAGTTCCAGTACAAGTATTAACCCATTCGCCCTGGATTTATGTTCTGTCCCCTGTAGTTTTTTGTGAATATTGTTACATACAGATGGCTCCATATGTGCTCAGCCGGCAAAGAGTCTATCAGTAGCCGTAGTGACCAATCCTGATTTCCCCATTCCTTGAATTAGTAGGAAAATGTGATTTTCTTTCTAATCCAGTTGACATTGATACTGTTATTATTGTTATTGATGTTATGATTATTAACCCTTTGATGATGGGTGAAGAAAAAAACAACTACACTCTGGAGATCAATGTGCAATGTGCCAACATTGAGTGCGGGAGTTCTATCAAGCCAAATCACTGGCTCGTAGTGCATTGGTGCGCGGCGGTGGCATACAACTGCATGCCACACATCGAATGGTTTGTTTGTTATTAAAATCTTAATAACATTTAAGACAATGAAATAATGCAAAAGACCCTTTCCAAAAGTCAAGGAAAAGGGTAAACAGGTGTGATATGTAGGACTAATAACTGACTCCTTGGTGACTAAGCACTTTGTAGAGCCATCTGTATGTAATTACAATAAACTTGTATTACATTGGGCATGGCATGCGAACCATGGCAGTGCACCAATTTTGAGCGCGTGAGTTCAGTACGCCACTTTTTGAGCATTTTGGTTTCACGCCTAGCGGCGTCACCCGTCATGAAGGGGTTAACCAAGAGAATACAGTGCCCATGATTCCTGGAGGCCTTTCATGATTGACACATTGCCAGAGAAGAGAAGGAAAAGGAAAGGGGGAGAGAAGAAAAGACCATGCAAAATTAGTTGACATGAGGGCTGAGGTCCACATGGGCCCCAGTCTCTCTCTTCTAAGCCCCCTCTCTTTTTCTGCATAAGCTTTTAAGCTTTTTTTTCCATTTTCTGCTGTCTTTATTTGTCATTTTATTTGCTTCATCCAGATGGTAATAGACTGTTTTCCTTGCACAGACTCCATATCATCTCTCTAGCTAATCCATAACTCATAACTTACATTCAGTTTTCTGTAATACAACCTCCGCTACCGGTTGCAGTGGGCAGGAATAGGAACTGGATATGCAAATAGCATCCTCCCAGGAGCCAGTGCATTCCTAGTCATGGCTCAAGAGCTTAGTACACTTGTGGCCTTAAGCTGAAATTTTCTTGATGGCAAGTTTCTGTCACCCTATCCCTCAACCAAATTTTCTCATGATGGCGTGTTTACATCACCTGTCCTTCAAGTCAGGTCTTTTCATGACGTGATGGTCATCTGGATCATCATTTGGATCATAGGGGTTAAAGGAGATGTAGAAAAATTTGAAGTTCTTTCATAGGTGAATCCTGCATTGGTAATGTTACCTGATAATGTACCTGATTATAAAAGGTGCAATAAGTCAAGCAAGAATAGAGGGTAGAAACAAATGGGAGATGAATAAGTCCTTTTGTAAATTACAGATCAAAACACATCAGTCCTGGCAACACTGGCAGAATTAGCAGAGGCCACATCAAAAGGATCTGAGGGCTCTGAGGGTAAGACTTACACATGATTTTTTAGATAAATAGATTCAACCAAGGATTGGAAGCAAAAAAATTTGAATGGTAGTAAGATGCTAATGATTTTAACCCAATGTCACTGGGAAAATGTAGTGTTCACTGTATTGTTTTGTTAAATGTCTACACAAGTGCTTAGCCACAAAAGAGTCAATTAGTAGACGTTGTGACCTCTCCTGATTTCACTTTTCCTTTTATTACTTTTTTTTATCCCCAACCCCCCAGATGCTATCAGTGTCAATGCTGTTATTAATATACTCAGAATTATTATAATGTTATTGACATTCTTAACAGCAGTATAAAATCGTGAAATAAGTAGTACTCATAACTGGCTCATTGGTGATTTACTACTTGTGGAGCCATCTATGTGTAAAGACAATAACTTGAACTCACAGTGGAATGGCATGTATGTACATTCTATTCCCAACAGCATCAGGTTAAAATTGTTCTTAGAAAAAATAATGATGCCAGGCTGCCTGTAGGCCTGGGTGGACTTCATTTCAGGAAACTTTTGTCGTTGGACAAATGTGTATGTGTATGTGTCTGTTAGGGTGTGTATATAAACATACATACCAGCTTGGTGGATCTTCACCTGTATCAGAGTTGAACTGAGAGGCATTTATGTTGTATTTTTCCACAGCAGCTGTCTCCTTATAGCCACTGCATAAAATTCTGATTGTCAGCGTACAGTACTTGCTGAATACAGGGGGCAAGATGGTGAGTAGCTGATTATTGTGGTCAGGCAGAGGGTAGTTGATCAGCAGTGGTCTAGCATGATGGGTATGGGTGGTTCATGTTTTTGTTGATGAAGGCAGCAAAATAAGTGGCAGAATGAGAAAGCAGAGGAGTAGCCATGCTCAAAATAAGGAAGAGGGCTGAAGTATTTCAGAGCTGCAATTCATCCCATTATATATACTTTTTCCTCATTAGTTCAATGGAGAGACAAGATGCTAAATTTAGTTTCTCCAAAATATCTTAGATGGTTTGCCTAATTATAAACATAATTGTTATCACTGTAACTTTTAATCTACCTTGCTAATATAATGAAGTAGTACTTATATACAAAGTCAGGATAGAGACAGAAGTTATATGTGCCCCCTCCCCAGAGTCATAATTCATGTATACATGCAACCTGGCATCAGTAGGTTAACATACTTATGTCATATTATTTATACATTAACATACATCTGGTGTTTTTGTGTTCAGGTGCCTATTAATACTTAAGTAATGTAAAAATGAAATATGCTTAGTGTTCAGGTGCAGAGGATATGTTAAGTTCTGAAGATTTCTTTGAAAATGTAGTGAGCAACTTATATAATAAATAGAATAAATAACTAAAAAATAAAAAAATAAGTAAAAAAAAAAAAAAAAATTGGACTTAACTGAGGGATGTGTGATTATGTGAAACAAAAATTTGCAGAAGTGGCAAGTGCAGCTGCTTTAGAACTACTGAAAGCCCAAGCTGCTCTGCTACCAGTAGATGACTCCTCAACCCTTGTGACATCAGCAGTAGCACATGGTCAGACACTACACCTTACAGAGGCTGGGAGACAGGCTTTAAAATTGATTAAACAGGTTGGTTTAGTTATGTAATTATGTGTTCTTCAATGTTTGTGAGTTGTCTGTTGTTTACCCCACTGTAACCAAGAAAAATAGAGAAAATAATTATAAATGGATTCCTGTTATCAGAGGTTAGTTACATTATGAATTTTATATTCCAGGCTTACAATTTACAAGTTTTAGGTAGAGAGACAGGAGTTGGTGTATAATTGAAGCGTAAAAAAATAATAATAAATAAAATAACTGACAAATCTTCAGACAGTGAAAGAAAGTTTGTTTATTAAATGATTGTCATTTCACCTTCTTTGCAGGAAATGCCTCTACTTCCAACAGCCACATTAAAACAGGATCACCTTAATGCAGACCATAATAAATGTGCTAAATCCAGTACAAGTTCAAACTCCAGCTCACACAGAAATCGAAACAAGCATACCGAGTCTTCATATTCATCGTCTACCTTGACAGCACCATGTCTGCCAGCTCTACTCTCAACTTCAGGTGTAGAAAGCATAGTGGAAGAGATTGCAGATGAGAGTCAAGAAGTCACTCAGGTCATAACACTAAGTCCAGAGCAGTATGCTGCTTTGACAGGTTTGTATTACTCTGTTGGAGCTAGCTGCCTTACAACCCACACATGATCCAAAATCCGGGCATTAGGCTTACTTAACCCCTTGAAGATTCCTTGCATCCTCTTTGCAATATAATCATCTCTATGTCATTCAATACAGTGCATCAAGATGGTAATAGACTTTTCCTATCAACAAACTGTGCATCGTCTCTGTAGCCTATAACTCTATACAATGACAATAATAGTAAGCAACTTTTTGTTGAGTTGTTGTTTTAAATTTTTCTGTAGCAACTCCCATTTTTGCCAGTCACAGCAGGCAGGAAAATGATCTTGAGCATGGAAACAGTGTCCATTCTGGAGGCGGCACTCTTCCAGTCATAGCTCATGGATGGTACATTACACCATCATTTACCAGTTTAAATAATACAAGAGCCCCTTCCTACATGCTTACTGAGTTTAATCATACACCAAGAGTTTGTTGATTCATGGCAAATCATTCCCATCACCCTGGCCCTTGTGACAGCATATTCCTGTTATCACTGGCCTCAGCCAAATTTTTCCATGGTGTGACAGTTACATAAACTAGTATACACTTATGGAAAACTTGTGTTGCTTACAGTGTTTTTTTTGCTTTGGATTACTTTTTTTTTCCCAAATAAGATATTAGACAAGTTACATGTGTTGTATGCTGTTTGTTCCATAAAAAAATGGTAAATATAGTAGATTAAGATAACTAACTTTATATTAACTGAACTTACATCAGTCAGACACATGAAACCAAATATTTGCATTCTAAGCAACTGTATTGAAAATCAAACTGATTCCTTGGCATTTCCTTTCTTATAATGTTTTGAGCCTGTTAAAAAATATATAAAAAGATAGATCTCTTGCTTTGTTCTGTTAAGTCATTCAAAATATTCTAATATTGTGAATGAGATGCAGGGGGGGGGGGGGTTTACTTTATTTAAATCTTGTTTTAACATTTCAGGTGAGACAAATGGGCCCATCATACTGCAAGTGTTGTCCAGTGGAGAGGATCAATTGAATGAATTAGACACAGGCCAGATTCCACCAGCACCAAAACGACAGAAGGTGATGCAGCTTGTCACAAAAACAGGGCAAGGGTTAGCATCTCAAAATCAGGCTGTGGCAAAAGTCTCAGGTCAGGTAAGGTAATGGGATATGATCATCGGAGCAACTGTGATCCGATACTGTAGTGTGGTTTTTGGAAGACTGATCTTAATTATTTGGTATAATGTCAGTTAACTTAAATGGTAGGGATGAAAGAAAGCCTTGAATCTCTTGATTGTATTTAATAACTGTTTCAGGTACTGAGTGTGGATGTGTCAAGAGGAGGTAATTTGTAGTACAGCGCTTCACTGTACCATTTACACTGGAATAAACATAAGTTTGACAGAACACTTTATTGCTACATGTATATGATATTTGTACATTTCAACAGAAAATGTAGAAGTAGGTATTTCAGAAGAAAATATTGTTGATATTTGGTAATGATGTTAATATTTATACAAATCCATGTTAATAAACTGAGTTTAACTCATACTGTGCATTTTATCTCCTTATCTTGTGTTACATTGCAACTAGTGAGCAGAGTACGCTTTTTAGGGTATAGTCTGTTCACTTAAGTCTGGGTTGATAGAAGGCTTGACTGTAGTTAGTGGATGCAAGCCAATGAGTGTCAGGTGTGGAGTAAGTTCATTTCGGTCACTACACAGGAATGATAGACCATTGAAGGATCATTGGTTCGTGCTTGCCCTTGAAGCATATGACCTGGCATTTCAGTCAGTAGTGACAATAAATGACATTAACATGTATAATGAAATTGTTAGAAATGATGGCGATAATAAATGGTTAATGGTTAGAAGAAAGGAATATGCTAGACATCAAAGGTCATAAACCACTATGGTCAAGTATTGTGGTGAAAAGGATGTAAATGAGTTAATTAGTAGACCTTATGACCTTACCTGATTTCCCCTTTCCTTGAATTGGCGGGAAAAATGTATTCTTTAATAATGCTATGGATATCGATGGTATTATTTTTATTATAGATATTATAATTACTATAATGTTATAAACATTTGTAACAGCAAAATAAGATAGCTTTAAAATTTTTGTAAATCAAGGAAAACGGTAAACAGGTGAGACAGGCAGTAATCGTAATTGGCTCATTACTTAGTACAAGTATAGCCATCTTTGTGTAAACTCTCAGTGGGCATGGCATGTACATTTTTTCCCTGAATTACCTAAAAATACTCTTCTGTTTGATCAACTCTATGCAACAAGTTATGGCTCAATTTTTTAATTTCCATTTATTATTATTATTATTATTATTATTATTATTATTATTATTGGTATTATTATTATTATTATTGGTATTATTATTATTATATTATTATTATTATTATTATATTATTATTATTATTATTGGTATTATTATTATTATATTATTATTATTATTATTATATTATTATTATTATATTATTATTATTATATTATTATTATTATTATATTATTATTATTATTATTATTGGTATTATTATTATTATATTATTATTATTATTATTATTATATTATTATTATTATTATATTATTATTATTATTATATTATTATTATTATATTATTATTATTATTATATTATTATTATTATTGGTATTATTATTATTATTGGTATTATTATTATTATTATATTATTATTATTATTATATTATTATTATTATATTATTATTATTATTATTATTATTATTATATTATTATTATTATATTATTATTATTATTATTATTATTGGTATTATTATTATTATATTATTATTATTATTATTGGTATTATTATTATTATTATTATTATTGGTATTATTATTATTATTGGTATTATTATTATTATTATTGGTATTATTATTATTATTATTGGTATTATTATTATTATTATTATATTATTATTATTATATTATTATTATTATTGGTATTATTATTATTATTATTATATTATTATTATTATTATTGGTATTATTATTATTATTATTATTGGTATTATTATTATTATATTATTATTATTATTGGTATTATTATTATTATTATTATATTATTATTATTATATTATTATTATTATTAGTATTATTATTATTGGTGTTGTTATTATTATTGTTATTATTGTTGTTATTATTATTATTATTATTGGTATTATTATTATTATTATTATTGGTATTATTATTATTATTACTATTATTATTATTATTATTATTATTATTATTATTATTATTATTGGTATTATTATTATTATTATTATTATTATTATATTATTATTATTATTGGTATTATTATTATTATTGGTATTATTATTATTATTGGTATTATTATTATTATTGGTATTATTATTATTATTGGTATTATTATTATTATTGGTATTATTATTATTATTATTATTGGTATTATTATTATTATATTATTATTATTATATTATTATTATTATTATTGGTATTATTATTATTATTGGTATTATTATTATTATTGGTATTATTATTATTATTGGTATTATTATTATTATATTATTATTATTATTATATTATTATTATTATTATTATTGGTATTATTATTATTATTGGTATTATTATTATTATTATATTATTATTATTATTATTATTGGTATTATTATTATTATTGGTATTATTATTATTATATTATTATTATTATATTATTATTATTATTGGTATTATTATTATTATTATTGGTATTATTATTATTATATTATTATTATTATATTATTATTATTATTGGTATTATTATTATTATTGGTATTATTATTATTATTGGTATTATTATTATTATTATTATTGGTATTATTATTATTATTGGTATTATTATTATTATTGGTATTATTATTATTATTGGTATTATTATTATTATTGGTATTATTATTATTATTATTGGTATTATTATTATTATTATTGGTATTATTATTATTATTGGTATTATTATTATTATATTATTATTATTATATTATTATTATTATTATTGGTATTATTATTATTATATTATTATTATTATATTATTATTATTATATTATTATTATTATTATTATTGGTATTATTATTATTATTGGTATTATTATTATTATTGGTATTATTATTATTATTGGTATTATTATTATTATTGGTATTATTATTATTATTATTATTGGTATTATTATTATTATTATATTATTATTATTATATTATTATTATTATTATTGGTATTATTATTATTATTGGTATTATTATTATTATTGGTATTATTATTATTATATTATTATTATTATTGGTATTATTATTATTATATTATTATTATTATTGGTATTATTATTATTATATTATTATTATTATTGGTATTATTATTATTATTGGTATTATTATTATTATTATTGGTATTATTATTATTATTGGTATTATTATTATTATTGGTATTATTATTATTATTATTATTATTGGTATTATTATTATTATTATTATATTATTATTATTATATTATTATTATTATTATTGGTATTATTATTATTATTATTGGTATTATTATTATTATTGGTATTATTATTATTATTATTGGTATTATTATTATTATATTATTATTATTATTATTATTATTATTGGTATTATTATTATTATATTATTATTATTATATTATTATTATTATTATATTATTATTATTATTGGTATTATTATTATTATTATTGGTATTATTATTATTATTATATTATTATTATTATTGGTATTATTATTATTATTATTGGTATTATTATTATTATTGGTATTATTATTATTATTATTGGTATTATTATTATTATTGGTATTATTATTATTATTGGTATTATTATTATTATTGGTATTATTATTATTATTGGTATTATTATTATTATTATTGGTATTATTATTATTATTATTGGTATTATTATTATTATTATTGGTATTATTATTATTATATTATTATTATTATTTTTATTATAGATATTATAATTACTATAATGTTATAAACATTTGTAACAGCAAAATAAGATAGCTTTAAAATTTTTGTAAATCAAGGAAAACGGTAAACAGGTGAGACAGGCAGTAATCGTAATTGGCTCATTACTTAGTACAAGTATAGCCATCTTTGTGTAAACTCTCAGTGGGCATGGCATGTACATTTTTTCCCTGAATTACCTAAAAATACTCTTCTGTTTGATCAACTCTATGCAACAAGTTATGGCTCAATTTTTTAATTTCCATTTATTATTATTATTATTATATTATTATTATTATATTATTATTATTATTATTATTATATTATTATTATTATTATTATATTATTATTATTATTATTGGTATTATTATTATTATTGGTATTATTATTATTATTATATTATTATTATTATATTATTATTATTATATTATTATTATTATTATATTATTATTATTATATTATTATTATTATTATTATATTATTATTATTATTATTGGTATTATTATTATTATTATATTATTATTATTATATTATTATTATTATATTATTATTATTATTATTGGTATTATTATTATTATTTTTATTATAGATATTATAATTACTATAATGTTATAAACATTTGTAACAGCAAAATAAGATAGCTTTAAAATTTTTGTAAATCAAGGAAAACGGTAAACAGGTGAGACAGGCAGTAATCGTAATTGGCTCATTACTTAGTACAAGTATAGCCATCTTTGTGTAAACTCTCAGTGGGCATGGCATGTACATTTTTTCCCTGAATTACCTAAAAATACTCTTCTGTTTGATCAACTCTATGCAACAAGTTATGGCTCAATTTTTTAATTTCCATTTATTATTATTATTATTGGTATTATTATTATTATATTATTATTATTATTGGTATTATTATTATTATTGGTATTATTATTATTATATTATTATTATTATTGGTATTATTATTATTATTATATTATTATTATTATATTATTATTATTATTGGTATTATTATTATTATTATTGGTATTATTATTATTATTGGTATTATTATTATTATATTATTATTATTATTATTATATTATTATTATTATTGGTATTATTATTATTATATTATTATTATTATTATTATTATTGGTATTATTATTATTATTGGTATTATTATTATTATTATTATTGGTATTATTATTATTATTGGTATTATTATTATTATTATTATTATATTATTATTATTATTGGTATTATTATTATTATATTATTATTATTATTGGTATTATTATTATTATATTATTATTATTATTTTTATTATAGATATTATAATTACTATAATGTTATAAACATTTGTAACAGCAAAATAAGATAGCTTTAAAATTTTTGTAAATCAAGGAAAACGGTAAACAGGTGAGACAGGCAGTAATCGTAATTGGCTCATTACTTAGTACAAGTATAGCCATCTTTGTGTAAACTCTCAGTGGGCATGGCATGTACATTTTTTCCCTGAATTACCTAAAAATACTCTTCTGTTTGATCAACTCTATGCAACAAGTTATGGCTCAATTTTTTAATTTCCATTTATTATTATTATTATTATTGGTATTATTATTATTATTATTATTGGTATTATTATTATTATATTATTATTATTATTATTGGTATTATTATTATTATTGGTATTATTATTATTATTGGTATTATTATTATTATTATTATTATTGGTATTATTATTATTATATTATTATTATTATATTATTATTATTATATTATTATTATTATTATATTATTATTATTATTATTGGTATTATTATTATTATATTATTATTATTATTATTATATTATTATTATTATATTATTATTATTATATTATTATTATTATTATTGGTATTATTATTATTATTGGTATTATTATTATTATTGGTATTATTATTATTATTGGTATTATTATTATTATTATTATTGGTATTATTATTATTATTATTATTGGTATTATTATTATTATATTATTATTATTATATTATTATTATTATATTATTATTATTATTGGTATTATTATTATTATTATTATTATTATATTATTATTATTATTATATTATTATTATTATTGGTATTATTATTATTATTGGTATTATTATTATTATTATTATATTATTATTATTATTATTATTATTATTATTATTGGTATTATTATTATTATATTATTATTATTATATTATTATTATTATATTATTATTATTATATTATTATTATTATTATTGGTATTATTATTATTATTATTATTATTATTATTATATTATTATTATTATATTATTATTATTATATTATTATTATTATTATATTATTATTATTATTATATTATTATTATTATTATATTATTATTATTATATTATTATTATTATTGGTATTATTATTATTATATTATTATTATTATATTATTATTATTATATTATTATTATTATATTATTATTATTATTGGTATTATTATTATTATATTATTATTATTATTATATTATTATTATTATTATTATTATTATATTATTATTACTATTATAATAGCTATTATTAATATTATTATTTTATTAATATTATTTTTATTTTATTTTCATTATTATTGGTATCATTATTATTATTGGTATTATTATTATTATTGGTATTATTATTATCATTGGTATTATTATTATTATTATTATTATTATTATTATTATTATTATTATAGTTACAATTTTTCATTGCTATTATTTTTTTTTAATAATAATAATAATAATAGTAATAATAATAATAATAATCATAATGAGCAGTAATAATAATATTAACAACAACAATAAAAATAGCAATTGGGTGACGTGACCATTATGTCATAAAAACATCTGGCTCAAGGGGCATTGTTAGCATTTAAGCCAAGGCTAGGGTGATGGGAAAGACTCACCACAAGTGCACAAACCTCTTGGGAAGTTTATGAGCCTTATTTGGCAATTTTGCATTATTTCCATCGATGTACAAGTTTGGAATGTAATATCCGTGAGCTTTGACTGGAAGACTGCTGGCTCCATGGAAAATGCCATTTCTATACTTAGCATCTTATTCCTGGTGCCAGGACTAGTGATGCAGGTTTTATTACAGAAAATGGATTATGAAAAAAATTATAAAATAACATAACAAACTGTTACACATTTTTATTTTTCCTGCACCGAGTTGTAGGCTACCTATAGAGATGATATAGAGTCTGTGCAAATAAAAGTCTATTATCATCTGGATAATGAAAATCCAATCAGAAAAGATGCTTATGTGTAAAAAGAAGGAAAGAGTCTTGCCCCTGCACGCGTGTTTTTGTGCCCAGCCTACAAGCCTCCACCCATCAGAACGGCTGCTCATGTAAGCTTAATGCCCGGATTTTTGGTGATATGATTTGTGTGATGCAACTGGATCCAAGGGGTTAATGTTTATAAAGCAAAATAAATATATTAGGCAGCAAAGGTCATATAGTATTATAGGAAGGTGTAGCCGCAAAAAGAGTAAAGAGGGGTGGAAGCTGATTAAATGTATTACAAGTCAGTTTGGGATAGTATGGTATTGAAAAAGGTAGAATGGGGTAAGGATAAAGAAGATGAGTAAATAGGTTAGGGTAGGGATTAGCAAACAGGTGATTAGATCAAATGGGGGATTTATATACATCTGAGGAAGAAAAAGTTAGCTAAGGATTCTGCAAGGGGCAGTGTTGTGACAAAAAGGAGTCAGCTGTGAGGGAACGGAAGGGACAAAATGGAAGGAAAGGGGAGGGGTGCAGATGAAGCAGGAGGGAATGGGGTTTGTTGGGAGTGAGAGGAAGAGGTGTAGGAGAACATCTATAGGAGATGGAACATTTAGAATGTCAAATGCAATGGGTTGAGTGAAAAGGAGAAGGGGGAGGCACCAGAGAAGTACCAGATTCGAATGTCTGGATATAGAATGGCAAAAGAATTTGACTGGGAGAGGGAGGAGATAGAAGTGGAAATGTAAGAAGATATACTAGGGGAGATGCAGAAATATCATGAGGAAAAGGGGGAGGGACAGAGCAAAGGACAGCTCTGGAATAGAAAGCAAGAGAAAAATCTCAACAGTGCACTTTCTGCCTGGCCTTGCACAAAGTGAGGCTAAGTTTGAATCTGAAGACTGCTACCTTATACTCAAACTAAAATACATTATGAAAACCACAATGGCACATGTGCACGTTTGCACAGGGAAGTTTGAATGATTGTGGAGCAACAGTACTTGACAGGGTGGCTAAAATTTCTGACATTGAAGGGGGAGGGGGTCAACATGGTCGGACGGGGTAGGATTCTCCACCAATATAAACTTCATGGGGGAGGACAAGTCTACAGAAAGTAAGCTTTGCAAAACTGGTGTACAACTTTTGGCAGCCTCTATGGGAATAACGTAGCACTGTTCTGAAACTGCATCATAGTCAACTAGGCAGGCAAGCAGGTTATTTTTACAATCTGACCAATCCTTGTCACAGATAGGGAGATGGAAACAGTTCCTGTACAAGTATAAAGGGAGAAGTGAGGCTGGGTAGGAAAAGGTGTGCCAGTGAGGTCAGTCAGGGTAGATACAAAAATGAGGTTGGGACTCGGATTTTAATATGACATGATGTGCATGATCAGAAGGGAAATGTTGCCTACTTGAAGAAGATTGTGGAAGAGGTGGAGATAGAGTGGATTGTGCTGGGAGAGAGGAAGGAATATTTTCTAAAGGTTGGGTTACATTAGGTTAAATAAGCCTTTAGTAATGTGGGGAAGTGAAAAGGTTCATCCCTCTGGGTCACCATGAGGGGTGAGGGCTAGACAACAAAATGGGAATACTATGGCCATAGCTTGTTGAGCCCATTTAGGAATGCCCCAAAGCTAGTACCATCTGAAATTGGTTGAGGCAAGAGCTAAGGCCCAAGTTAGGGGAGATCCCCAACACTGGGCCTCAGTCAATAATTATAATGACAACAACTGTGATGAAGATAACACTTTATTGTCATTTAACTTTTTGTACTCTGTCAAAAGTTTTTCCATTGTTAAAGAAATTATTTACAATTTACAATTATTCAAAACCTAAGATGAAAAGGTTCAATAAAAGGAGGCTGTAAGAAATTCATATTTAATTCTGTAAAGGCTTAATGTGCTATAATAAAAATATCTTGCCTAATTCTAAATGCATTTCAAGTCCCTTTATCATTATATCTAATTCTACTATTGTACTTCACATATGGTGTAAAGGCAGAACGAAAGAGACTCATATTAAGTAATATTGAAACCTGAGTTCTCAGAATCCACCACTTGCATCAGATGACTTGAACTGCAATAAAATCAGATTTTTTTACTCAACTCAGGTACACCAAACCTGAATACGACTGGAAATCCATTTGCATTGCAAATAGCCTGTCAACAGCAGGATGTTGAAATACTCATGGTCTGGTTTAAAAGAAGCTTGGACCCACAGCAAACACATCTTCCGCTTGTCACGTTGAACTCCTACGGCGCACCAGGTATTTCCCATGTGCCAATTGGGCCAGGGTAATTTTCAAGCGAATGTTGTCTGGTACTTTCCTTACCATAATCTGTCAAAATATATATATATTTTTTAATTTTCTTTGCACAGAAATAAAAGAATAAAAGGATCATATGTTCACTGTTACTTCCATACTGCTCAATCTATATAGGTTTCTGGAGTAAACACAATCTAGAGCCAAGGACAAACCCAGAAATTGACATGCAGACATAAAAAATATCTATGGCAAAACTTACCATATCATTCCCTGCAACAGTGAGAATTGCATTGAACCGGGTTCCATCTTTGCACTCAATCATCACAGCTTGGCCTTTGTGAAACCTACAAACAAATAAAAAAGCTCATGTTCCACTTTCCTTAATGACTAAAGCTGATTATTTTCCCTAGAATTTTTTAAATTTTATTTACCTATTTCCATTATATCAATAGCAAACTAAGAAAACCAGTGCTATGTAATCCATCAAATCACTCAATGAAATAATGAATACTGACAAGGAACCTCTAATCTAAAAATATTAGAGTAACTTTTACACACTGCCTATTCTTATTACACAGTGTAATACATACCACTTTTTATCAAAATAGAGCTTTCCATTTTCAATTTTTGGTTCATTACCAATAAGCTCAGGAGGAGCTATGGCAGGTGAGGCTGAAATGTAAACAAATTATTAATGTTGTTAACTATCATCATCATAAGGAGGAGAAGGAGGAGGAGGAGGAGGAGGAAGAGGAGGAGGAAGAGGAAGAAGAAGTGAAGAAGAGAAGAAAAAAAAAAGAAAAAAGAAAAAGAAGAGGAAGATCAAGAACAAGAGGGGAGCTGAAGGGGAAAGAAAAAAAATCAGAAGTGAAAGTGGAAGTGGAAGAGGAAAAGGAAAATAAGAAAGAAGAAAAGGAAGATCAATCAACCTTAAAGGAGAGAGAGAGAAAAAAAGGAAAATGGAGGGATTATCATCAAATTTAATAGTATTAAGAAGTCATATAAAACTAGTGTAAAACAAGGGGGGGGGGGGGGGGTTAAAAAGTTTCTAAGTACTCAACCTACTTTTCTTCATATTAATGAGCTTGCTTTTGTTGATGAGCTTCAAGTCTTCATCCACCTCACGTTCTTCAAGCAAGAGTTGAAGTGTGTTAGAAACGGGTTTGCGTCGCTTTTCCACAATGGGTGCAGGCTCATTACCTCTTCGACGCAGCTTTCGAGTTGAAACTGGCTTATACTGTGTGGAATGTAATGCATGTTATGAATGAGAATTCATGCAGTGACTGCTTAATAACCTGAGTATAATACTGAGACTGTACATTCAAATATTATTTTGATTAAAAAAAAAGAAAAAAAAAAAAAGAAAAAAGAAAAAAAAGAAAAAAAAAAAAAAAACTTTAAACAGCTTTGAATCAGAATAAAGTCAAAGGTGAATTTTATGAAAACAGGGTATTCTTAAAATGTACAGCTGTGATTCATTTGTTATTCTCATATTAAAGAATGCAGCAGTGAAAATTCTATTTTGAATTTATTCAATGATTCTAACCTCCTCACATTTACCTTGATCTAATTCCACAGAAACTATTACTACCCTCCACTGCTCTCCCTGACAACCTCCACAAAATAAAACATATGTACTGAAAGCATCAACTGCACAACTCCCTCTGAACACACCAAGATCGTGACCCTAATGAAGGCATACTCACCACATCAATTTTGGGCCTCAGGATTTGGCTTAGGGGTCTACTTGGTGCCAGATTTTTAAGCCTCGCCAATAAACGTCTTGGTGACTCCCTTACCATTCCATATCTTGTCTGATATGGAATTATAAAAGGTATGACTCACCAAGGACACCCAAGACTTTCTGTCTGGTATGAAGAGCTTGTTTGCGAGTAACAAGCATTTTTTTAAATACTGGCTACACATTCCTTATTTATCAGTGATTTTATATACACTAACATGAATCTTTGTGTAACTGTACTGCGTGCATGCTCATGCAAGCACACACATAGAGCCTTATGAAAATTCATGCAAATGCAATCAACCTTTTATGCTGCAAACATGGATGTGAAGCATGTAACTTATCCACACTGCATTCCAATTTCATAAAGCATATTAATCCAATGCCACCAAGAAATTGTAATATTCACTGTAGTATTGTTTTGTAAAATGTAAATACATGTCAGTGGCTCCACAAGTGATCAGCTACCAAGGAGTCAATTAGCAGTCTGCATGACTTCACCTGATTTTCCCTTTCCTTGTGTTTTCAGGACCCCCCTCCCCCCATGCTACTAATATTGTTGCTATTATTATTACTATTGACATTAAAGTCATCATAATGCTATTAACAATACTATAAGCAATATTTAAAAAAAAAAACTTACTTCCAAAAATCAAAGAAAAGGGTAAACAGGCAAGAATGGTCAAACTAATGATTGACTCACTGGTAACTAAGCATTTGTGGAGCCATCTATGTGTAAATACAATTAATAAACTAAATTCTCTAGGCATGGCATGTCCCTACATGTCATACCCAGCAAAACTGGGTTAACTTTCATACTTTCATTAAAAATGTAGAAGTTTAATCAGTTACTCCATCAATACATTCCCAACTCATTAAGTATATTCACTTTAATGCTGCCAATAAAATCAAATTAGATAAATAATTCAAAGTAGTGCACCTTCTCTTGCATCTATGATCATAAAGGGTTCAGAGCAGAAATACTGTTCAAATCTGTCAGAGAGCATGTACATAAAAAAGAGAAAAAATAGAGAAAAAAAGGAGAAAAAAAATCTACCTAATAATACAGCTTAGAGCATCACATTAGTATTCATTAAACATTAAAATTAATTTACATGCCTTTATATTTCATTCTTAAATACTTCAGGACAAAGGTTCTTTTTCCTACTCACTCAGCCCCCCCCCCCAATTCTTCATTTACAATACCAATGAATTCTTTTTACACCAATCACCATTCTCTGTCCCCATTAGTTACTTAACAGCTTTTTTTATGGTACTTCAATGTCACACTGTCTTCTCTGCTCCCATTTTATTAAGCAGACCCTTCAGGTAATGACCCTTTTTTCATACATTATTTTCTTTCTCTCTCTCTCTCTCTCTCTCTCTCTCTCTCTCTCTCTCTCTCTCTCTCTCTCTCCTCTCTCTCTCTCTCTCTCCTCTCTCTCTCTCTCTCTCTCTCTCTCTCTCTCTCTCTCTCTCTCTCTCTCTCTCTCTCTCTCTCTCTCTCTCTCTCTCTCTCTCTCTCTCTCTCTCCTCTCTCTCTCTCTCTCTCCTCTCTCTCTCTCCTCTCCTCTCTCTCTCTCCCTCTCCTCTCTCTCTCCCCTCTCCTCTCTCTCTCCCCTCTCCTCTCTCTCTCCCCTCTCCTCTCTCTCTCCCCTCTCCTCTCTCTCTCCCCTCTCCTCTCTCTCTCCCCTCTCCTCTCTCTCTCCCCTCTCCTCTCTCTCTCCCCTCTCCTCTCTCTCTCCCCTCTCCTCTCTCTCTCCCCTCTCCTCTCTCTCTCCCCTCTCCTCTCTCTCTCCCCTCTCCTCTCCTCTCTCTCTCCCCTCTCCTCTCTCTCTCCCCTCTCCTCTTCTCTCCCTCTCCTCTCCCCTCCCCTTTCCTCTCTCCTCTCCTCTCCTCTTCCCTCTTCCCTCTCCTCTCTCTCTCTCTCTCTCCCCTCTCCTCTCTCTCTCTCTCTCTCCCCTCTCCTCCTCTCATCTCCTCTCCTCTCCCCTCTCCTCCTCTCATCTCCTCTCCTCTCCCCTCTCCTCCTCTCATCTCCTCTCCTCTCCCCTCCCCTCTCCTCTCCTCTCCTCTCCTCTCCCCTCTCCTCTCCTCCTCTCCCCTCTCCTCTCCTCTCCTCTCCCCTCCCCTCCCCTCTCCTTTCCTCTCTCTCTCTCTCTCTCTCTCTCTCTCTCTCTCTCTCTCTCTCTCTCTCTCTCTCTCTCTCTCTCTCTCTCTCTCTCTCTCTCTCTCTCTCTCCCTTCAAGATCTGCTAGTCTTACTCATGACTTGGTCAACTTCTACTAATGATAAATTGATAAATAGTCTATTTATTTTGTCTTTGTCTTCTTCTAATGGTAAATAATTACTTTTTGTTTAGTCTCTATCTGATACCTAATTGGCTGTTTCCTCTAATTTCATAAGATTATTTTCTTATTGTGTCCAGATGTGAATTATGGGGTAAAATATAATAAGTGATTCTAAAGATGATACTAAATACAAAATGTATTTGGCATTACTGTTAACTTCAAAAAATAAAACAAAACAGAGAGGTAACTAGGGGTTACATAAATCTTTTCTTTGTCTGAAGGGAAATTAATTATCAAAAAACTAAATCCGTATCTTAAACAAAAAATGCCCATGTAAACAAAGACTTCTCAGAGGAAGTCTCAGGTCATCAACAGCACAAGACTCAGTTAAAACACTAATAGCTAAATTAAGACAGGACACATGAAATTAAAGAAAACATGTTCAGACCAACCTCCATTGAGTCTCCTGTGAGTTCAAGTGTGAATCTTTCCTGTTCGATGATTTTCTTCTTATCTTCTAGCTCCAACAAAAGGTTTTCTTTCAATTCCTTCTTCTTCTCTTCAAATTCCTTTCCAGCTAATCTTTTCTCAGCTAAATAATCTCTTTCAACACATTCTATCTCTACTCCCCTCCATAAGTCGTTTAACCGCAACCTGTTAAGTCATCAAAGTTAATGAGATGATATGAAATCCAGACATAGAGGAAGAAGAAGATGCAGAAGAAAAAGGAGGTGGGTGGGGGAGGGGAGGAGAGAGAAGAGAGGAGGAGGAAGAGGAGAGGGAGGAGAGGGAAGAGAGGGGGAGGAGGAGGAGAGGGAGGAGAGAGAGGAGAGAGAAGAGGGGGGGAGGAGGAGGAGGAGGAGGAGGAGGAGAGGGAGGAGAGAGAGAGAGAGGGGAGAGAGAAGAAGCAGCAATTGAGGAAATGAAATGGATAATAAAACAGAGATGGAAATGGGGAGGAAATGAAGCAAAAGATTGGATCCAAATATAAAATAATAAAACAGCACCATATGACAATTACCTGAATATCAATGGAAACAGGAACATATATTCTTTTAAATACATATATGTCATAATCGAAAATACACAAAATACGTGCACTCACACACACACGCAGAAAAAAAAAAAAAAAAAAAATCATTAAAAAAAATAAATAAAAAAAATCACCTTTCTTTGTATGCTGCATCAATTTTCTTTAGCTTTTTGTTGTATTCCGGGTGTGTGTTGTCTCGCAGCTGCTGCAGCTGTTTCTTCAGTTGAGCCAATTTGTCTTGATACATCCTATAAATCAAGTAAGGAACTTAAGTAACCTTACAAGTCCTTCCCTTAATTCACATAGAATGTTACTGATTGATAAAGTAAAGTTATTTGTTTTTTTGTAGTTTACCTGACAGGCATAAAGATAGAGAGAGAGAGAGAGAGACTGAGAGAGAGAGAGAGAGAGAGAGAGAGAGAGAGAGAGAGAGAGAGACAGAGAGAGAGAGAGACAGAGAGAGAGAGAGAGAGAGAGAGAGAGAGACTGAGAGAGAGAGAGACTGAGAGAGAGAGAGAGACTGAGAGAGAGAGAGAGAGAGAGAGACTGAGAGAGAGAGAGAGAGAGAGAGAGAGAGAGAGAGAGAGAGAGAGAGAGAGAGAGAGACTGAGAGAGAGAGAGAGAGAGAGAGAGAGACAGACAGAGAGAGACAGTTACAGAGAGAGAGACTGAGAGAGAAAGAGAGAGAGACTGAGAGAGAGAGAGAGAGAGAGAGACTGAGAGAGAGAGAGAGAGAGAGACTGAGAGAGAGAGAGAGAGAGAGAGACTGAGAGAGAGAGAGAGAGAGAGACTGAGAGAGAGAGAGAGAGAGAGAGAGAGAGAGAGAGAGAGAGAGAGAGAGAGAGAGAGAGAGAGAGAGAGAGAGAGAGAGAGAGACAGAGAGAGAGAGAGAGAGAAGAGAGAGAAGAGAAGAGAGAGAGAGACTGAGAGAGAGAGAGAGAGAGAGAGAGAGAGAGAGAGAGAGAGAGAGAGAGAGAGAGAGAGAGAGAGAGAGAGAGAGAGAGAGAGAGAGAGAGAGACTGAGAGAGAGAGAGACTGAGAGAGAGAGAGAGAGAGAGAGAGAGAGAGAGAGAGAGAGAGAGAGAGAGAGAGAGAGAGAGAGAGACTGAGAGAGAGAGAGACTGAGAGAGAGAGACTGAGAGAGAGAGAGAGAGAGAGAGAGAGAGAGAGAGAGAGAGAGAGAGAGAGAGAGAGAGAGAGAGACTGAGAGAGAGACTGAGAGAGAGAGAGAGAGACTGAGAGAGAGAGAGAGACTGAGAGAGAGAGAGAGAGAGAGAGAGAGAGAGGGAGAGAGGGAGAGAGGGAGAGAGAGAGAGGGAGAGAGGGAGGGAGGGAGAGGGGGAGGGAGAGGGAGAGGGAGAGAGGGAGAGAGAGGGAGGAGAGAGAAGAGAGAGAGAGAGAGAGAGAGAGAGAGAGAGAGAGAGAGAGAGAGAGAGAGAGAGAGAGAGAGAGAGAGAGAGAGAGAGAGAGAAAATCATGGTGGTCATGTACCCACTGACAATGACAATCAGAAAATTAGTGAAGGTACTTACTGCTCCTTAATGCCTGCATATTCTTCTTTTCCTCTCTGTTCTCCTTCACTTCCCAGATCAGTATCTGTATGGAAAAGTAATACTAGTTAAGATTTTAACCCTTTCCCGACAGGCATGGCATATACGTACATGCCATGCCCACTGTGAGTTTAATTGTTTGATTGTTTTTACACATATATGGCTACACTTGTACTAAATCACCAATGAGCCAGTTATGAGTACTGCCTGTCTCACCCATTGACACTTTTCTTTAATTTACAAAAATATTTTACTACTAATGTTTTTAACATTTTATTAATTATAATGTTTATAATAAAAATAACATCATCGATATTCATAGCACTAGTAAAAAGTACATTTTCCCGCAAATTCAAGGAAAGGTGAAGTCAGGTAAGGCAGAGCCATATATGTGTAGAGACATTTCACAAAAAATGTAAAAAATGAGCACAGCATTTCCCCCATTATTTATTAATTTTCTCCGTCGCCAATGGGTTAATGAAAAGGTTCTTAACACCATGTCCCTACCATAGGCCTACATGACCTAACCCCTTAACTCAAAGCTTTATATATATTTGCATTGAAAAAAATCACAATTATCTTTTGTAATTAAATGTTTCTCAATTTGTGTATTTATCTACACAGATTTTTTAACAATCTAATCTAAAATGGTGAAAATTTGGAATGTTTAACCCTTTCAATATGGCCATTGAATGATGGGAGGCTCCATCCCTGAACACCCTCCAGCAAATATTGTCCTCTCCCTTTCCTCCTCCTCCTCCTTTCTTCTCCTATTCCTTTTCTTTTCTTTTTTCTTCTTGTCTTTCACTTTTATTCTTGTCTTTCTCTTTTGTTCTTCTCTTTCTCTTTCTTCTTCTCCTTCTCTTTCTCCTTTTCATATTCCTTTCTCCTTCTTCTCATCATTGTCATTGTCCTCCTCCTCCTCAGAATGCATGGCAAAAGAGAGCTGAAATTCAGGAGTATTGTGTAGATATTTTCTGCATTCTTTTTCTTTTAATTGTGGTATTACCATTTGTGTCTACAAATAATTTCTTGTGCTAATGACTGCAACTCTTAGTCCTCTCTACATATTTATCATCTCCAATTTGCCATAGCATAGCACATCCCTACCCTTAAA